TGATGGTGGTGATGATGTACTGTTGATGAGTGTTGAATGGTGATGGTGGTGGTGGTGATGATGGTGATAATGATGATGGTGATGATGATGTACTGTTGATGATAGTGTTGAATGGTGATGGTGATGATGATGGTGATGATGGTGATAATGATGATGGTGATAATGATGATGGTGATGGTGGTGATGATGTACTGTTGATGATAGCGTTGAATGGTGTTGGTGGTGGTGGTGGTGATGGTGATAATGCTGATAATGGTGATGGCGATAATAATGATGACGATGATGCTGGTGATGATGACAATGATAATAAAAGAATACAACTCACCTTTTTACATCTTCATTTGCATGATCTTCTATTTTCTTTAACCATTTTGAAATATTACTGAACGACTTCTCACTTGTAACATCATATACTAGGATAATCCCCATTGCACCRCGGTAATATGCGGTAGTAATAGTATGAAACCTACATCATGTGATGATCAAAAAKCAAAACGAAATGTTTATTACATAGTATAGACCAAGGGGGTGGATTCCAGAATGGTTGATATTTTGCAACGTGGCAACAAAACTTTGCCCTGACTTATACAATTAACCCAGAGGTTGTTTCAGGGTGTGATCTGTGGGTTATCCATGCCCTGACTTAGATCAGCCCAGAGGTTGTTACAGGGTTCAATCTGTGAGTTAGCCATGCCCTGACTAGGTCAGTCCAGAGGTTGTCTCAGGGTTTGATCTGTGAGTTAGCCTTGCCCCGACTTAGATCAGCCCAGAGGTTGCATATTTTAGGGTATTGCAACATTACCTTTCTTGTCCAGCAGTGTCCCATATTTGTAGCTTAATTTTCTTTCCACCTAAAATACAAATAAACCTAAGAATGATATACTGTATATATTTCATGGCAGGTGCGCATGTCTCTGTACTGTGATATAAAGATGCTGGGAGCCGTGAACATGAAATATAAGCAAAAGGAAAACAAAGGCATAGCCAAATGTTTATCCTGCCTTTCAAGTTACAATCTCTCACGATGAGCCTTCTTGGAGAGAACACAGAGAGTTAATATGTTTAAATAAAAAAATAAAAAGATAAAAAAAAGTTACAGCTCCTAGCTAGAGTGTTCATTATATCATGATATTATATATCTCCATATGTAAACCATACATTGATCAAACAGTAAATTCATTATACATGTACATAGCATTTGCTATTGCATAAGTAATGAGAATTTAATTGCAATTGGCAAACGTTCATTTTTTGCAGGTATTTGTGTTAATATTTCATTATTAAGCATTATTTCAGCTACTTATGTCATACCAAAAATGCACAAGCCGATTAATTCACGACATATCCAGCATTAGAAAATATATGCATTTCTCGTCCAAAAAGAAAAAAAACTTATCGCATTTCATGATTTTCAATATTATAAATTCATATTTTTCTTACAAGAAATTTTGAAATGCTACATATGAGTTTAACATGTTTGTTTGTTCGGATTTATTGATTAAAAGTAATGCAAATTTATTCACTGTAAACTATTCTTTGAATATTTTTGGCATAGCATTTTTATTCCTGACTCACGTCTTGAAAAAGCTAAAAAGCTATTTCAGATGATAATTAAATGTAGTGAAAGTGTTTAAAGTGATATAGATAAAAAAATACTGGGATTTTAAATATGTATTTAATAATATGGCACAGACAGTTGAAGTGGTGCATATATATTCAATGCATTTATGACATGAGTTTGACATCCGGTTAGAGAGCCATAATAAACAACATTGCAACGACCTTTAAAACCTCAGCCATTACAATTTATCGAGACAAAAACTTGTAGAGTCAAGGGATCGATAAAATCAAGAGGGTTAGGTTCAGTTTAGTTAGGCGTACAACTGTCTGAAAACCGTACAATTCGGAATACTATAAATATATATATCGATACAGGAAGTAATGAAGCATGGAAAGGTGGACAGGAAAGATTGCTTCAAGATTGCCTCGCAATATTTTGAAATGAAAGTAAAATTCTTCCAACATGTGAAATCTTTTTAATACAACACTAAATATATCTATTGGTATTTACTACGATTTCTTTAAGGGAATACGGCTTAAATTTCATTCAGAAACAAGAACTACAGCCCCATCTTGAACGCAATGATTACCATTAGTGCGATAAAAATTTCATGCCAAGACGTCGAATTGATTACTGATTTGTATTTACGTTTTATGCTTGAATTCAGCTCTAAGGTTATCTAAATATGGAAGGTTCGAAAAATAAAGCAAATAATACAGTAATACATGTACTATTTTGGTAAAATGAATGACTCTAGTTTGGCAAAATATAGTCAAATGGTTTCCACTGTTCGCTCGATCGCGAACTCGTTTCATTTCTTCACCGACGACTTACCAATTTCCAGCGTCTTGATTTTAAAATCTATCCCGATCGTTGAAATAAACGATGGATTGAAAGTATTGTCGGCGAATCTAAATATAATACAGGTTTTTCCAACACCACTGTCACCGATTAGAAGCAGCTTGAAGAAAAGATCAAACTTCTTCGCCATAATAAATTTGGAACTGACTCGATCTTGTGCGCGCGGCTGCGTGACGTAATTTTCAAGCGAGGGTGGGTGGGTCAGTTCTTTCTAGAGGCTTCACGCCGCGAGATATGGTGCATTAATTTTGTCTATATTCGTTACCCGAAATTCTATCTTTGTAGAGAAACTTCAAGCGATTCTCTTTAGCTATGATATATATTTGAATTTGACGCGATTGTCTTTCCTTGGCGCAGTATACGAACGACTCTCTTTGTGACACTTGGAAAAACTTCCCATGACGGATAGAAGTGCCCGCACAGTTACAACATGCCCGAGAGTTTTCAATTTTCGACAGATTTTAAACGAATCAATGGGTAATATCTTCGTAGAGAAAACGTCAAGCGATTATTTTCAGTTTAAAAGATTTTGACGCGTTTATTAGGGGTTTTGTTTTTGGGAAGGGTGGCTTCAGGCAGGAAAAAAGTACACGCGTGAGTCGTAACACTGAAGCGCCCGCATACGCGCTGTTATCTTGAAACCTCTACTAGTCGACATTGAATCCACTGATCGACACCTGATCTGTCTAGTAATTGTGACCACACCGTTATAATCGCGCGAATCGCGCGCTAAAGGCGTTAGAATAATCTTCGAACATGATCTTTCATTTTCGTGTCTCTCGCGCCATTTGGTTACGATCCATACCTTCGCAAAGTAAGAACTGAAAATGATAGTTACGCGTGACAGAGTTACTTGATGTTAGTCAAGCCACGGAATCCCTGTGGCGCTCCGCTCCGTAGCCACACCCTGATGAAGGCGTTGGGTGGCGCTGCTTGAAAGTACGCCAAGACAGTAAACACTGATATTTGTAAGTAAAATACTACAGATTATTTGCTCCAGCCCTTGTGAGATTTTCATCCAGAACTAGGTGTACAGCGAGCAAAAGCTTCAGTTGTGGTTGTTTTCGATACCAGTGCACTATGCAACATCCTGCGGTCAACAATGGACGACTCCCTTTTTAACCAGATTTCAAGTAAATCTGCTTAATTTTATGCCAAACCTATCCTAGACGTCYAAGGATCTCTAGCTCACCATTCCTAATGCTTAACCTTTAGGATTGTTGACACACGGAATTTAATTCCGCATTCTACGACTTCCTAGTTGCTTTTCCTTTACCGGCTTATGCTCTACTTTCACCATGAATGCGCAAAGCCGCTTAGTTCTCAGCTTAGTCAGTCTACAACTTGTGAAGTTAAGCGGATCTAGAGAGGGAGCGCGCGTAGAATTCAACAAACAGAAGAATATCCATAGGGGGATTGAGAAGAAGGGCGCGCAAGAAGGGAAGGGTAGACAAAGAAAAATATATATCACAATTGGAAGAAAAATAAGCCATACTTATTGGTACATGGAACGCTTCATCTTTAATATCTCATCTCTCACAAATAATATAAAGTCGGTATACGACGCGAATCATTCTGTCAACTTGATAAGAGTACGCTATATAAACCTAAAGACATACGGTAAATCTGGATCTAGGGCTTACTAATTCTAAACAGGGCTATCTATCTATCAACATTACCTTCCATTAATTCTGATTTTTTTACACTAACTGGGGACCTCTACATTTATGTCATCATATTTCACATGTACATATACTTCAAATGAATACAAAGAAGTGGGGACCGTAAACAAGTACTAAACAGGGGAAGATATTGAACTAGATTTATGGTATGCACTCGCTTTTTTCTCGGGGGATTCTCGGAATTTTTTCCGGAAGTCGTTCGAGAGCTCGGATCTCAAGTCAGTGACTGTTTTAAACCAAAAGCTAAGCTTGATAAGGGTTAGTTCATAAGAGCTCTAATAAAGGCTTTCGGAGAATTTCCATATTATCTTAGCTGAGCACGGACGCGAGCATTTTTACTATTACGGATTCTGTTCCTTGTGTATAATATAGAGTAACATTTCGAGAAACTAGTATTGTGGTCATAATGATGGTGATTGGAATATCAACATTGATTTGACTCGTTATTTGTAACTTTGACCACCAAGAAAACAACTGAAAGTTTACGGTATTCTTGCATCTACGATTTTACTTTATCTTATTGTTAAGATCAAAATCTTTTTTTTTTTTTGTAATTACTTTCTAGGTCATGTGAGTTAGTTAGTTAAGCTTGGTAATTTTTCTTCTTGGAAACAATCAGAAAAAAATTGCAAAAATGTGGTAGAATAGAGCTATGAGTGGTATTACAGGGTTTTTAGATTGCTCTCATGTTGGGATTAAATTTCTTTAGATTGAAGGCTCTTTAACATGGCTTCAACCGCAACTTGTCCATCACCCTTACCAAAATCAAAAAAGGTGAAGTTATATTCTTGCAAATGTACTGCCGAAACAGGGCCAAATTCCTGTATGTTAGAGCGATCAGCTCAGGAAAACTGACTTACAATATAAAATAGAGACACTATGAGTACTATTTGCAATGGCCTTCTCTACACCTAATTCCAGATCTTCAGGAAACTATCCCAACTTCCAGTTGCTACTGCCATGCCGTCTTCTGTCACGCCCAGACAGCTAACCCTATTGTCGTGGCCGGCAAGTACACCAGCACGCTCACCCTTCAGGGTGTCCCAGACATTGCAGTTAAAGTCATCATAGCCAGCCAATAGGAGACGGCCACTCTTGGAAAATGCTACAGATGTTATGCCGCAAATGATATTGTCATGTGAATACATCATTAATTCCTGAAATGGGAAAATGAAATCCACATTAGAAAAATAAATAGAAATGGGAAATGAATAAATAGGAACTTGGATTCAATTTTGATGAAATTTAAAGATATATTTCTCATTTACCTGATCAGCTCTGATATCAAAGAGTCTGCATGTAGCATCATCAGAACCGGTTCCAAAGGCAAAGCCATTGGGGAAAAACTGAAAATAAATATAAAACATTCGTAAAAACATTCCTTGGTTTCACTTGACATAATTTTGCTGTCTGCTGTGAAATGGAAACAAGATGTTTTCCCATTTAAAAGTCTTGGGAAAATTCACATCGAATCTCATCCATGTAGCTTTATGCATGAGTAGGGTAACACACAACAGGCAGAACGAAGCCTGGGAGTGGATGAACAAACAATGAATGGTGAGATAAAACAAAGAACACAGCTAATCCATGCTTTCTTTGTTTTTGTTATTCTGCCCAATCCCAAACTTCGTTCTACCAGTGGACCGACCCCATGAGTAAGGATAAGAATAACACTCAAGGAAATGAGATAAGAAATAACACAGAAGATAGACTAGATCTTTTTCATTTTTTTTTTTTTTTTTTAATATCATCTGAAGATGATTAGATACTTACTGCAACAGCGTTAATGTCTGATTCATGACCAGTAAAGGTTTGTTTACACATTCCATCCCTAACGTCCCACAACTGTGGAAAAATACAAAAATAACAACATCAGAATACTCTTATTTTTTTACAAAAATATATTCACATGCCCCTGCTTGCAACCTAGTGAGTCGAGCGTTGTGTGCATAGAATAGTAAATGTAGTGGTAGTGAGTGTGAGCGAAAGCAGGCCAACATCAGCGAATGCTGCCAAAATAATTAGCCTGCTCTATCAAATAAAATATTGTTATTATTATTATTACAGTACACAAAAGATAGGGACAAATTGCATGATATTTTATGGCACTGTTTCTCACAGCTACCACTGTTTAGTTCAAGCCTGGGGTTAAGGTTTCGATTTTAACTGAACCGTATGATGTCATGCTAGTTGAGTTTGTTTGATGTGTTTTTCTCTTCCTTGCTGTTAGCAGTTTCTCTAGGTTCTCTGGTTTTTCTCCCTTCATAAAAATGAACATGTAAGTTGTGTGTGTGAACAGTGAATGTAGTTTGTTGTTGAGTGTGATCCCCTGGTCGAGTGTAGCCTTGAGAAAGACTGTTGTTGGTGGTGACTGACGATTTGACAGCCTGAGCAAAAGTCATCTTCTTGCTAGAGTCCAGTCAGAAAATGCATAAGTGTAGTGAATGTAATTTGAAGCTAACTTAATGGCTAGAAGATCATACCTTAGCTGATGCATCACAGGCACCAGATACAAAACTTCTGCCGTCTGGGGACAAAGACAAACTCATGACGTCTCCTGTATGACCGGTGAATGTTGTCGTTTGTTGCCCTGTTTCTATATCCCACAAGCAGCTAGAAAAGAAAAGAAAAATACTCAGACCCTCTTTTCCACAGAGTTTCCTGGATTTCACACAAAAATTTCGACAAAAAAGACTTTTTTTATTCCTGTTACCTGGAGATTTAGATTTGGCTTTAGATATATTTATATTAAAAAAACATCAGGAATAGAAGGAAAAAAGTATAATACTCAGGAGAATGATATAAATCTTCACCGACCTTTTCAGCTTGGACAGGAAAAATTCCAAATCAAATTTCATATTATTTCCTTGAGTATTATTTCTTCGTTTATCAATGCTTGAGCATATATGGTTGATTAGAGGTTTGGAATGTGAAGCATTGAACAGATCTATTTAAACGAAGGCCAGGAAAGAGGAATACTCACTAGCACAACCTATTTAATAGACTTTATAATCAAACTCTGTGCCCTTTTCGTGCATTTTTTTTCTGTGCGATTCAGGGGCCGATCCAGGATTTTGTTCAGGGAGGGGTGGTGCGCACAATGTTAACCCAGGGAGGGGTGCACCCCTTAGAATCAAAGGCAAAAAACAAAATTGGTTATTTTCGAAGTAGGAGCATAGTAGTGTAACCAGAGAGGGGTGCGCACCCCCTGCACCCCTCCCCTGCTTTTCATTATCTATCTTCTAACATCTTAGTGAGCAAGTGACACATTTATTTGTATAATCATTCCCCTTCACAATAACTTGTTTCTATGCTTCGCATATCCAAAAAATGTTGATTCCTTACCATGTCATATCACCAGAACTGGTAATGATGAAGTTATCATCGATAAAACGACAACATGAAAGATAACCTGAAATGACAAAAAGATCCTTAAGTATTCAAGCAAGAAAATGGTGCTATCATCCTATGTACACTATAATATAAATATGATAAGCCATGGGGCAATATGTAATCAAGTTCTTACTGTTTGCTTTCTAAGTACTAAATACCTTCCATTATGTATTAAGCCGAAAATAACAACTGGTTATCGGACAAAGTCCAACAAAAATTGGAACTCATTTTGGCCATTAACATAGAGAAAAACACAATACGAGAGAGTTGAAGAGTTAAGACTAATGGCCTTTTACAGTTAACGATCACGTGTCTGTACTGGAATGCAAAATTGTTGTTTTTATATTAAATTGGTGATTCTTTTTAGCTACTTGTAAAGAACTAAATGAAAACATGTGTATCCAGTGTGTCACGAAATGTAGTTTTATTACGATCTCTCGAAACAGGCTGTAGAAAGTTTGTTTGCAGTCCAGTAAATTTCACCCTTGGGAATCAAAATGCTCATTCATTTGCTCTCAGTGAATTAATCAGCACGTGATTGCTTAGCCTCAAAGGGCCTATTTGGCTGCTTATAATGATCAGCCACTGACTGGCCTTTATTAAGCCCAATTTTTTTAATGTAATAAAAGTGCATTTTGTATCTATCTCAGAGTTTGTCAACTGACAATGAAGGATTAAAAATCAGAAGAGAATAATGAATCTTTGTTTTTATGTCGTTTCTTATTGACAGAAACAACTCAACAAAGCAAGATATGATTGACAATATAATTCGTTTAATCTTTTTTCTAAATATCTCATGTGTTTGTCCTGTGACAGGAATTAGCTGGTTAAGRATGAGTCGTGACATAAATATTCTATGACACATCAACAATGTAAGTCTAAAGAAAGTGCTGAAMGCAGCTGAAACTGTAGCACAACTGAAATGGACTCCTTTTAGCTGATGAATTGAACTAAATATTAAGTAATAAATGATGATAAGTATTCATGATCTATATAGTGCCCTTTCTATATGGATATAATCAAAGGTGCTTTACATTGGGTTCCAAATTAATTTCAGATAGCTTTTTATGCAATTTATAAACAAGAGTGGATTAGCATGAGGTGTAGGCACTGAGGGTGGTCACTGCAAGGGTTTCTTTACGTYCTCAGCRTCCTTTTACGTCCCYTTGATATTGGTTGGAAATTTGCCAGAATCAAACAAATATTTTAAGACTCCTGTTATATTCTGTGTAATATATTGCTATTTCAAAAATGGACCATATGTTTATCAGTGTAAACTGTTAAATGTTACCTCTTGAAATAAAGTCTATTATTATTAGCATCATTATTATCATTGTTATCATCATTATGCAGTGTAAATCTACTATATGCTAGAGCCTACTAATAGCACATAATAGAAGCTATAATAATCTATATATATAAATTTAAATACAAAATAAAAWAAATCTAAAATATGTATGCTTATATATATATATATAATATGTAATTGTAAGATATGGAATCTTATCATCGTCATCATCATCATCATCCTCCTCATCATGCATCATCTTTGTCATCCTCATCATGCATCATCATCACTATCATCATCATTCATTAGTATTATTACCTGTATGTCCTGGAAGTTCTCTGCTCACACGAACATTGCCTTCTCGTGTTTTGAGACTGTAAATTGAACATATATTGTCCAGACCACCTAAAGAATAGAAGGAAAAAAACAAACACATTAAAGATTGCAACAGCCACAACAGTAACAAAGTTTACAMAAGACTTAAGTCAAAATCCTAAGAGCCCTGAGTACATCTTTCTACTCTTGGCATTGACCTTGCAAAAAAATCTTGAAACCGAGTTAAAAAAAAAAAGCCAAACATTTTAGAGGTAAAGAAAATATAACTCTTCCAAATTTTAATATGATAGCGGTGTTGAACACCATTTATTTTATAATTGGATATTAAGCAATGTGTTAACTATTTCATAAATGCAGTAGCAATAAAGATTATTATTATTACATAATCAGWAATCCACAAACCCCACTAGTCTATGTACTAARGAATCATGATTTTCACTAATGTGAAGTCGTATTTTGAAGTTGATGTATGAAATGGTGAACAAAGTAGAGTAATATTCTCAACTTTACCAAACTTCACTATTATGAGGTSATGGTTGTGCAATAGCTAGGAAGTATGTTTTCGCAAACTAGTTAGGACAATAATTGAATAACCTTTTGGATTATTGAATTTTTTACGTACCACATGCGACAAAGCTTCCAGAAGGAGCGTACGCACAYGTCATTACCCAGCTAGAACGCAGAGGAATGGCATGAACCTGAAGGACAATGATAATATAAATAAATAGAAGGAAAATATTTTTGACAAATTCTATTTCTTTAAATCCTTCGAGASATGAATATAATTCATGAACAGGTTCATGGAATATCGCACTCTGTTGATCATATTTACCTTTAACTATTTCAAATATGATGCTAGATTTCCTAGTCTACAGAACTTGTAATAAGTTATGAAACATGTGTAATTGAACTATTGTACTCTTTGRACAATAGGAAGGAAATATGTACCAATTCTTTTAAAGTTTTTGGTGCTATTGCTCAAGAAAATATGCTTGTGGATATAACTTTTTGATGCAACAGTCTATTGCACACTTCTTGATGTTCAATAAATTTACAAAAAAATACTCACTCAATTGGAAAAAGAGAGGGATAGAAAACTTAGAACATTACAACTTATTCTGAAGAGGACCATATCTTTTTATGATCTTTGTTTATAGACTGTACATGGAATTTCCTGATTATAGTCTCACCTTATTTGTTGTATAAGAATCCCATACAATAAGTTTTCCATCTTGTGAAGCACTTACTAAGTTTCTGTGATAAACAAGACAAAAGAATGTCAAAAATCTGAAGTAGGAATCTAGCTCAATTGCTAAATCTTCAGTCATTTACGCTTCGCTGGTAATCATAATTAATGTCAAAAACAAGTTCTTACTCCAACACTACTTCCAAAACCAAGATAATAACTATCTATTGATATGAACCATTTCGAAGAATTTTGCTGGAATCTTATAAGCGATACAATTTTTCTTACTTTATGATATCAACTGAGAAAATGCATGGACAAATGATTTTCACTTTGCAATCCAATACAAATATGAAAAATTATATATACGAGCCTYGCTTTTAACTGCTGTATTTGTCCTCTTATYAAAGAAAGTAATTTGTTATTTTATYTAGTGGGGCTAGCTTGGTCATATATTACTACACAAAATGTATAGTAAATGTCTATCCATCAATGAGATTTAAAAGATAGGAGAAAAAATAGAATGGGAGGTTCTTATATASCGCATTTCACAATGTATCAATGCACTTTACATTTATGGCCAGTGGAGCACTTCACAGGCTGAATATTAAGGCGCTATTAGCAGCCATGCAGCTTACAATCATAAGATTGTAATCATGAGTGAAGAAGAGAGASGTGTTACAAACCTGGAATCAGACCCCCAGTGCATAGCGTATATTTTTGCAAGATGACCACGAAGCGTTCTACGTGTTCTCATTTGTATTCTTCCCACTTGTTCCAAGTTTGCTGTGACTTGAAGGAGGGTTGTATCTGCAGCAATCTTTCTTGCATCCTGAAATAACCATTATATAAATCATTACTTCACAAGAAAAACATGATCAGTATTCTGTTTCATGGGGCTAACCTCGATTTTGTGTAGAATATTCATGTGTTTCAGTAAAGGTCACTGGAGTTTTAGTGTTTGTGATTGTTGAAATTGTGAATTCTTAACTTTACTGTTGGTATTTATAAATATTTTGTCAATGATATGAGGTTAACCCTGAGTTCAGTTGTAGTTTTACCAAGACTTCTGAGAAAATATGTGATAGGAGCCTTTTCTCAGGTTAAAACTCCCTTAAATTTATGATGATATTGTAGCATGGGTAACCAAATGAGAAAACAAACAGCAAGACTATGAAAGTGTTCTAAAATTTGCCACTCAATTCTGATATAAAAAAGGCCTTTTTGAGCAAGAAGTATAAAGGAATTTAACTGGAAAAGATATTTTAAACTCAAACCCAACTTTTAACTCAAAGCTTTTGTAAAGSATATAAGTATGGAAAAATAAGATTGTGCAACACTGTTGACCATTGTTCTCATCCTAGTCCCAATGAGAAAGATATTAAAATACATCAGAAAATAAGGACATTTGAACCAAACAAATGAGATAAATAAGCTTTTCAACATGAAAGTATCTGTTAATACTTTCAATAAAAATAGTGATAATTCTAAGAATTTTTTTCTAACAAAAGTGAAAATAGAAAAGAAAGTCTTTATATTCTTTTATTCGTCTCAGCTTATTGTTGCATAAATATAGAGAAAAAAATCCAATGCTCATTTTTAAATAACATTTGAAGGTTTTTAGCTWAAGAATCTAAATTTACGTCTATAAATACTAGATCCTTTTTGAGAAATTTTAACATACAATCTCATACTTTCAATTAGAAAATCGTAAAGAAAAATTCAGCATAAATAATATAGTATTTAACAACAACTATAGTCACACCAGTAATTCCAACGACTCCAGAGCTAAGAGAAAAGCATTTAGTTTAAACAGAATCCAAAAATGCCATTTTTTTAAGGATTTTATTCATTTTTATAGCATTTAGGAGTGGAAGGAATATCGAAGTATTTTCATAGCCAACTCCCTTGAGATCGAAAATGAAAAATAAAAATATACAAAAACAGAATATGTAGATGTTGAAATAACTGGAATTGAGCGCTAGTTCGTGGTAGTAAATAGTGAATACCGGTAAAATAGAAACTAAATAAGCAAGAGTTATGGAAATATTTCGATTATTCGCTTGATGAGGGTAAACTACAAGATGAAATATACACACTGCAAGTGACGTGTCGGGGCAAAATATTCGATCGCTGCTTATTTTAAGTGATATCTCAACCACAGCTTTTTAATGAACAGGAMAATAGATCTGAATTTTGTCCATAAAAATTGTCAAAGGGTTTGGAGTTGTAAAATCTGTCCGGGGTTATTGAGTCGAGCCATTTWTTCCATCACACCCCTAGCAACTGCTTTGATCTTGAGCTGAGATCTTGSTGTTTACGGTGTTATTTATAAGACGATCTTTCGCCAGACCGAAAAAAAATTGAAAACACAAGACCTTTTTAGACTGGATTAGAGTCTGTGAGGTTCGTTTAGTCCTGAAAGGCGAAGCTTTCTTCTCGTTTTCAATTCYAAGCCACCTTTTGCCCTTCAACGCTGGCCTTTACAGCAACTACGAAGCCTTTATCGGCCATGTTGCAAACCAAAAACTAAAGCGCCATTTTTCTTCTATGTTGAGYCTTTAAGACACCTCAAACATCGATTTAGGAACGAAAAGAGAGTTCTTAATATATCTAGATGTTAGTATTAGATTCGATTCTTGGATTTGATGATAAAAAATACTGCGACAACACTTAAAAGAGAGCACGCCTAAACAAGATCTGGTATACAGTACTAGTACTGGGGGCTGTGGTCCATGGGCGACGCTTTATTTTATATAACCCCAAAATAACTGGACATTTAAAGACTGGAATCATAAGAAAAGGGAACATTGGTGAGGAAGGAAAAAAAAAAGAAAAAGATTTAGACTTTTTTTACGAAAACGATCTTGTATTTTGAACAATAGAAGATTTTCTTCATGAGAAAATTGAAAGCATTCGCACAATCATGTCTCACAACATTTGAGTGGGAATTTTATAAATTTTGGCCTTTTTTTCGAATATGTGAGCATSAAAGGACCTAAATACGAGGGAAGATTCATTTATATTGGAATAAAAGTAAACAATTTTGGAGTTTTTCGCTCCTGATCGCGATCAGAAGGAACGAAAAATTGAGCAATTGGGATTTGTGCCTGTATGATTGAAGACCATGGATTTACATTGAACCTCACTTTCTGTATTTTCGACTCTTTCTTAACGTTARATCATTTTATCCTCGAGCAAAATACAAAACTCAGAATCCAAATACCTCGAAATATTCCTAAGATCACAATTATAATCAATTCAAAATAGCGTTGGCAAGAAAACAATATTATAGTCTTATGTGCCGGGCGAGCCGAGAWGAGAGAGCCTTGAAAAATTCTTCTAAAATGGTTTAAATATAATTTGAAGTTATGTTATAGTGAAAGTTTATGACCTGGACTAARGATGGTTGAAGGAAAGGTTTAATCGAGGAGAAGAGAACGATTATTGCAAAAAGATTTAGGTAGAAGGGAACGACATATTAAGCAAAAGCCGCCATGTAACATCTGCCCTCCTATCCTTCGAACAAAACCCAATACAAGAGCATTTTCGCTCTGTGTTTTTTGATTAATCCTCGAAAAATATGCCTTTTACAACGAGAATAGGCAAAAGGATAATCAAGAAACACAAATCCAGCGAAATACTCGGAATTTTAGAGATTCTTTGAGGAGGTTGCTGTGTGGTCAAACATGGAAGGCAAGCCAGTCGCCTGTCATACGGACACAAGCACTGGATGTAATCCTCGACTTGGTTTCGATTCAACCGATTCAAACGGCACTCACAACTCGAATTACAACGCTAAGTCGTGTTGGATAGAAAGAAGCGACGAAAACGAATCAGCATTCGACGAAATGGGGAGACATTGGCTGGTATCGAAGCTGGTAGTCGAGGTTCCTTCGCCTGCTTTCGAAGGTTCGACTCCAAAGACGTGGAGCAGTGGCTGGCGGCTTTCGTTTTCTCTCAACCCTTTTTCTTATCAAAAATCAACTTTCACTCACCCGAATTTGGCTTTTCAAAGCCTCTGCCTCCTGTCGAAGCTGTTCTAACTCACTCATTGTGGCCAGTTGAGTTCAAAAAACCAAGTCAAGTCTATGTTGAAAACGAAGAATCAAAGACGACGGTTGCTGCAGAGAAAAACACTCCTTTCTGAACTAACACTCGCTCAAACTCCAATCCAACGAGTCTGGCTGAGCGCTAGGCTTTTCTTGATGGTCTGCTCCACTCAATAATCCAAGAAATAGGTGTTTTGAGCTGTGAAAAAGCAGATTCTTAGCCGTGGCATTAGCTTAGCACTTGGTCTGGTTTGTACTGGGAGTGGTCTCTTTGATAGATTGCAAAGGATTGCCTCCACACTCATACACCACATACAACAGTATTATAACCAGCCCCTGCCTATATGGTGCCCCCCGCACAACCTACATATATACATGGTATGGACCGGCAGACGAGAGGAATCTGGCACTAGCAGGCCATTAAATTTCGAAAACTACTAACCTTTTTTTAATACTAAAAAATTAAATAAATTGAAGTTGTATGGTTACAGAAAAATAATCTATTTTTTCTAAAAAAAATTCTTGCTTTTGGTTAAAAAAAWTTATAATTGAGATTTTAAATTAGCTGATCAAGTAGGTTTATTTTAAACCATACAAAGCCTGGAAGAAGCTAGCATACGTACTGATATAGTCTGATGTAACTTTGGCAAAAAAAAAAAAGAAAAAAAGAAAAAAACAGGGGAGGGGTGGTCTAAGTTTTTATTCATTCAGAATATTATTTTAAGAATTTATCCACTTTCTTTCTTTCCTTTCTTTCATTTTTTCTGATTTCATTTTTCCTTTCTTTCTTTAAATTTCAATAATTTTTGAAAGCATTAACATTTTGTTCAGAGAAAAGATGAAACAAAAATATTAAAACATATTTAAACTTTACCTGTGTCCTTTCCTCTTTTTATATTATATCTTTGTTTTTATTTTTTCTACTGCTAACCCATCACATTTTCTTTTTCTATTTTATTCTAGTTTCCCATCCCTTTCCCTTGTTTTTATTCCATCCTTTTTCTTTCCTACTTTATCCCTTTTATTTCCCATCCTATCATAGATCTTCTTTTTTTCCCTCCATCCCTCTTTTTTTTTTCCTGCATTATCCACTTTTCTCTTTTATTCGTTTCCTATCCTGTCCTATCCCATCTCATCCTTTTTGTTCTCGTTTCCTTTCCTATTCTATAATTTTCTTACCCATTCCTTTCCCCTATCTCTTTTTCTTCATTTCTTTTCTTTTCACTCATTACGGGTGAATCCAACAAGGGATATTGGTAGTTGTAGCTCATAACAAAAATAGTTTTTTTCGCCATACCAACTTTTCACAAATAAAATTTAATTTTCATACTTTATTTTTGACTTTAATAACTTCTCAGAAACATCACCCCTACTAGATAAATCATTACAACACTTCTTATTTGTTTATGTGACCTATAGATTCCCAGACTAACTAGAATGGTACAAAACAGTAGTGAAAAACTTGGTAAGAAATTGCATAAATTAGTAAGCTCAGTAGACCGTAGACCTACAAAACTTTGCACTAATTTCTACAATTTTGCTAGTCAACTTTTTCACCGATATGTAGTATGCACTCATATCTTTGCTCTTAACAACACTCACATAAAAATACTGCCGGATGAATAAGCCAAGAGCTCCAAAGCAGTAAATTACAGCTTATACCATTCAAGTTTGTCTGAGTCAATCTTGTCATCTTTTTAAGGTTCTAGAGGTGAAAGCCTTGTCAAGCTTTCTTTTCCACAGTCTTGGGCTTGCGTTTGTTGATTTACTTCAAGGGATGTCTGAAGTTCTTGCCAGCATACTTAGCATTTGAGCCTAGCTCTTCTTCAATCCTAAGCATGATGAGAAAGATACCAATTATCAGAGGTATTGGTATAAAAACAAAGTTGTCATTGTAATGATAGTATTGAGTGAGGACAGCAAACCTCATGGATAACCTGAATGATAGTGATCTCATGAAGARATTTTATTCGTTTAAATAAGAAATTTGTTATCAATCTTCCTGYGACATGGCTGCCACAGGGCTCAACTAACGGTGGGTCAGTCATCAGTCATGTTCATCACCAAAATTAGTTTTAGCACAGTTATATAGAGGATATTACATGGGCGCATGGAGATACAAATTTTATCTTCGAGTGTTCAATTGAACTCGAGAAGATAAAATTCGTATCTCCAAGCGGCCATGTAATGTTCTGTTTATTATGTAGATATCGATGAAACTTAAATAAAACAAAAGCTCAAGAATTCTTTATTAAAATAGCAAGCCAATTCAACAGCGATATCTTCACGTGTGAAAGACGTGGTATCTTCCACTGGTGAAAGATATCAAGTTTTTGACACTAGAGAAAACCTGGTATTTCATCGATATCTATATAATAAACCTAATTATTGGATCACCATTACTACTCAATGACAGGTAAGGAAAAGATTTAACTGTTCCGATTATTTCCGGGCATTGTCTTATGACCAGCCCTTRCCCTGGACCATGACGCTAATGAAAAAGTATCATAATTCAATGAATTGTAGATAGACATACCTGAGGAGTTGGTTGTACTTGGCAAGCCTTTCAGATCTACAGGGAGCCCCGGTCTTGATCTGCAGGTACAAAGAATAAAAATAACATACTCAATAAGCACATTGACTACTGCTATAAGAAATAATTGTGATAAAAGGAAAAATAGGGATTTACTATACATATGAACAATATAGAATTATTTCAACTAACCTAGACAAAGGGGAATGATTGATCTGAGACTGATAGGAATACTGACAGTTTATTAAGCCACAGTCATTAAACAAAGAAATGATACTCTAGGGAATGACACATGGTATTTAATGGAAAAGCATTGGATTAGGTCTATTACATGTTCAATAGACCTCTTCGGCTTGGGGTAATGTTTTCCCATTTCAGACCACATGTCATTCCCTTGAGAATAAGATTCTTTGTTTAAGCTGTATCCACATTCATGTGTCTTCTCATGTGCAACCGAGCGCAAACTTTAAACAAAGAAATGATACTCTAGGGAATGACATGTGGTCTGAAATGAGAAAACATTATGTCAGAGCCGAAGAGGTCTATTACTGCTTCAATGATTGACACAGGAAACCTAAGCACACGCTGGTTGCAATAGACTCACCTGTCCTGCACACAGACCAACTACCAAGTCAGCAATGAAGGTATCTTCTGTTTCTCCACTACGGTGGCTCACCATCACACCCCAGCCATTCTTCTGGGCCAGTTTGCAACTGAATAAATGCAAAATATAATGCATTCAATAAAATCGATGCACTTGGAACACAAAGAAAACTACACTGTAGTTTATAATTTTCCAACCAGAATCTCAACATTACAGGGTTAATAACCTTAAATTATTAATATTAATGAGGATAAATCCAATAGAATTCAGTCACCCAGGTGAAGTCTGTAAATCAGATACAGAATTTGTTCTCTTTTGCATTCATTTTTAATTGGATTTTCTCAGTCAAACCCACTCCAATCTCAAAAAATTAGTAAAACATGAAATTTTACACTTAGACATTTGACGAGCAATATACAATAGTTGTCTGGTCTGTATAGGCTTTACAATGGCTGGTCCTGGTAAATGGCCATATAGATTGGCGGCTCATTTGTATATATAACATGAAATAGAGCACATTCTTTGTTACTTACGCATTGATGGATTCGGTGACAGATCCAATCTGGTTGACCTTCAGTAAGAGACAGTTACATGCCTTCTTGTCAATAGCCGTTTGTATTCTGAATAGAGCAATAAAACAATACTATCAGATAATCAAATAATATTATCAAAAAATATTAATAGTACTTGGGAAGTACATGATAGATGAGTCRTTAAGCCGTGTGGGATGGGCTCGGGTGTTAGCTACTTGGGAAGCATGGGTGGCATAGCGCTAAGAGTGCTCGCCTCTCACCAACGTGATCCAGGTTTGATTGCTGGACTCTGTTTTGTATGTAAGTAGAGTCGTTTGTTGGTTCTATCCTGTACTTCAAGGGTTTTTCTTCGGCTCTCTGGTTTCCTACCCTCTGCAAAAATCAACTTCCATAATCCAATTATTCTATATGAAATAAGGGCCACAGGTTTGTTAGCTACCGGCTAATAAGTGCTACCCTCACAAACAAGGACAAGCCAAGTTAGTTAAGGGGAGAGGGGTGGCTGGGGCATTTGCAACAAATGTAAGCGTAGTAATGGATAATACTTTTGTTAGATATAACAGTTCTTACCTCTTTGGGTTAGTAACAGTTAAGTCATCACTATAAAAGAAAGAATAAGATGTTATTTTTTTGATAATAAACTACAGCTTTAATGACAGGATGAGCAGTAACAGCAATAGCAACAACAACAGCAGCAATAGGAAGAACAACAACAGCAGCAGCAACAGCTGCAGGCAAAAACAACAACAGAAACAACAACAAAAACAACAACAGCAGCAACAACTACAGCAACAACAGCAGCAACAACTACAGCAGCAACAGCATCAACCATATCTTGGATAACTTACCCAACAATCTGAATAGAAACTTTTCCAGTAAGATCAGACCATGCATCCCAGTGATCCTGGTCAAATGCATCTTCAATAGAAACAACTGTGCAAAGAAAATAATTACACTCAAGACCATTGCCACAATCCTCATATTAACCACTATGCAAAAATAGAACTATTCAGTTTAGCTATAATGTTTTTCCATTTCAGATCATGTGTCATTCTCTGGAGAATAAGATTCTTTGTTTGAGTTGCATCCATCATGTGTTCTCATGCAGAACTGTTGAACAAAGAAACAATACTCTTCGAAATGACAAATGGTCCAAAAAGAATAGCACAGAAGCCCAAGGAAAGAGGCATATAGTAGAGCTATTAGCAGTTCTTAATGTAGTAAATGATTACCAGGATAGTCTTTAATGAAACCAAGGTAGATGTCTCTGAGTGCATCAGCTGTTACCTGGTTAAGTAATCATAAAAAAGTTTAATTAGATACAGTATACCACACCATGATACAGCRTGATAAAAGCAATTTCACATGCAAGATAGACTAAGTTGGTCCAGAACAATGGTTATTCAAATTGGTCAACATACTTATTTTTGGTGTATATCAAACCCAACTCAATAAAATACATTCTTTTAGAAGGCCTTTCTATCCTGAACAATGTATGAAATCATCATACAACTTACCCATTTGCTTGGATCTGAGTTCTTGTTCTTGAAGTCCAAATCATACTTGCCATCCTTGTGAAATTCTATAAAGAAACATGAATTTACTTATATCATATCATCAAGGAACTTGGCCATTAAAGAGATAAGATGCTATAATGATAAGACCCAGTAGAAGATGAATTCCATGTCAACTAACCAGAAGCTGCAACATCCATTCCAATTTCAATCTTTCCAGTGTATCCAGCTTTCTCTATGGCAACCTTCAGAAGCTCAAGACCTGGTCCAAAAATATGCTAACAGTTAAATCTATTATTTTAAAGTCTACTGAACTATTTCAAAAAAAAAGTTGAATAGCATAGCATATAGTGGAGAGTATAGATTACAATGATACATACCTTCTCTGTTGTCCTGGATGTTTGGTGCGAATCCTCCTTCATCTCCAACATTTGTAGCTTGAAAGAAAAAAGAGATAGTTACAGCACAATGCACAAAAGCATGACCACTCTCTGCTATCAATTCATCATATTACCATCAATGCCATATTTCTCCTTCACAACTTTCTTTAAGTTCTGGTAGATCTCAGAACCCATTCTCATGGCCTCACGGAAGCTTGAAGCACCTGGAATATATCAAGAAAAAGGTTTTAGTAAAGTTATCAAAACAATTAGAGTTTTTAGTTTATTCTGTCCTGTGCTTCGAGGGTTTTTCTGCAGGTCCTCAACTTTTCCTCCCTCCACAAAAATCAACTCCTAAATTCCAATTCGGAACAAGGGCCATAGGTTTCTTAGCAACTGGCTATTAAGTGGTACCCTCATAAACAAGGACAGCTTGTGTGTACTGCACCTCTAGCCATTGCCTTGACTTAGACGTAACTTCAAAAAGTTATACTAACCCGTGGGTAACAGCATAAATTCCTGCATGGCAAGCTTATTGCCAGCATGGCTACCGCCATTAATAACATTAAAGGCAGGGACAGGGAGAATGACGGTACTATTACCAGCCAGCTCTGAAATGTACTTGTAGAGAGGAACACCCTACAGAGTAAAAAAAAGTATGCTCTAACGTCTTGATCCCCTGAACCTCTTTTCTCAACAACTAATGGTCTCTTACAGTAAAAAAAGACATGGAAATAGTGAAGAAATAGAAAACGCGTGCGCATGCTGTGTGAAGTTATAAAGCACGCGGAGGTTGGCAGAACACGAGAGAAGTGTTGGGAGAAGCATGGCGCGTAGCAGAGTGCTTCTTGACACTTCTAGAGTGATCTGCCAACCCCCACATGCTTTATAACTGCACACAGCACAGCATACAAGTTTTTTTATTTCTTTTATAAAACACCAATAACATGAATGATGAAACTGAGAGTGTGCACGCACGCTGCGTGCTCTCATAGAGCACACACTCTCAACCAATCATTTCGCGAGATTTAGAGCAGTTATTTCATAAAGGAAGGTTATTACCTTGTGTGCTGCACCTGCTTTGCATACTGCTAACGACACTCCTAGAATAGCATTAGCTCCAAGCTTAGCTGAAAAATAGAACGAGACAAATTCATCTTTATTTATACAAGGCAGTTTTCACTTAAAGCTTGAAAAGTTCAGCTATCAGGCTTTACAAGTTTAAATAATTGTGAATATTCCAGAGAGCAATCCCTCATTAACTTGTCTCACAATGTCAGTGCACATAAGTGTTTGCTGCACATTGCTGCACAAGAATGAAACTGTCATACTTTTTTTTTGAAACTCTCTCAAAAAGAACTCAAGAAATTATTACACAGTTGAAAGATATACTTATAGTATGAAGAAACCCTTTTTGATCAAACTGAGTGGAATCATTGAAGATCAAAATATCCATAAGAACAACAGTTAAAATGGATAAAATATGGGACGAAATCCAGGTAATCTTACATTTATTCTCTGTTCCATCCAGCTGAAGCATGAACTCATCAATCCCTGTCTGGTCAGTAACCTCAAGGCCCTGTAGAATATTATAAGAGGCATATTTTAAAACTTTAAGAATAGAGGAAAGTATAGGTACATTGCTTAACATCAAAGAGACAAGGACAGGTATGGTGTAGCAACGGGGTAGTACACTGACAGGTACATGTGCAGTGCCGTTAAACAAATATGTCGTCTGTCATTTTGGGTTATTGTTAACCAATAGCGGCATCAGCCCTGTAACTATATCCTTTTGCCTTAAGTTACAAATGAATCAAAATTTAAAATGTTTAAAAAATATACCTTCAAAATCAAGGCTGGTCCAATGGCAGAATTGACATTATCCACAGCTTTCTGCACTCCTGGTATAACGAACAAATAAATAGCAAACAAACATTGTTAATACCTTAAGAAAAGTTATTGCCTTTAAAAAAATAAAACGTTGTCTCAGGCAAGCTGACCCAATTTCTCAACTACTATACCTCCCCAGGTGGCCACTGAAGATGTCTATCAAATCTCGATTGTACCATATGGAGTTTTAGTTGGGTATTACAGTTTTCTAATGGTATACTAATGATTCTAATAAAAAAAGGCTCTTTATATTTTTTACCTTTTCCAAGGAATCTTGCAGGATCCTGGTCCCGAAGTTCAAGTGCTTCGTAGATACCAGTAGAAGCACCAGATGGAACAGCAGCCCTGAACATTCCTATGTTAAATGCCATTCATAATATAAGTATGAAAATTTTTATTAAACGTCAAATGTATTGTCATCATCAACATCATAAATGACAACATCAAGATTACATCACTATCATTCTAATTATCATCACCATCTACATCATCATCATCACCATTATCATCATCATCTTCATTATCATCATGATTACTTATTATTATTATTATATTACTATTATTAGTAATAGAGTGAAGGCTTTTAACCCGTGAAATAAAAAACACTAGTCAACGTGTAATAGTCAAATAGACACAAAAGAAAACAGTAGAATTAAGATCTACTAAAGTGTATTAGTCTAATATCTATTTCATGGGTTTAATGACTTCACTCTAATATTATTATTATTATTACCATCACTATCATTCTCATTCCCATCACCATTAACCTYGTCATCATCATTCATTCAGTTTCATTATACCTTTAGATGTTGTAACTTCAACTTCAACTGTGGGATTTCCACGGCTGTCAAATATCTCACGAGCAAGTACTTTTGTAACGTTAGCCATGATATCACCTGTAAATCATATCTTAGTTTCAGTTAAAATGCACACAGAGTTTTCTACAAAACATAGAAAAACACACCCATTATGGATGCAGCCCTTTCCCTTGCACCAGCCATGTTTATTCTCATGAGCACAGAAATCTTTGTTTGATTTGCATAAATTTATTCTCATGCAGTGGCAGATCCAGGGGGGTCGAAGGGGTCCACGGAACCCCCCTTGAAGGTTTGATCTTTTAGGTAATAGAAATATGTCTTATATAAATTTTGCTTAAAAGTATCCACAAAGATAATGTTGAACACAAAATGATAGATATTTGCTGTTATATTGTTTAATTTACCTTTAAGTTCCATTACTAGATAGTAAATTAGGTGATTAGAGCCAATTTTTTTGTCAAACAGTTTAAAAAACGGAACCCCCCTTTGAAAATTCCTGGATCCGCCACTGTCATGCACTTGAATGTGAGGCTACGCATGGTAAAATCTATTGTTCTAGTCAACATGGCTGCAACAAGTAAGGCCCATCCTCGCCACCCATTGGAAATTCCTTCCATGTGGAAATGTATATTTTCTTGAACTATACAATATACCCTCCTCACACCCTTTACACCCATTCAAATTCATTCCCCCTCTGTGAGTGAGGTACGGATATTTTTGAGGTAAACAATATACCCTGCCTAGGACTTCCCCACCTTTTGAACATTCCAATCCCTTTCTGTGAGTGAGGTATGGTTTTTTTTTCAGGACTGCAACTGCATGTCATTTCTAGCACAATAATACTTTATGTTGGAGATAAAAAAATAAATCACAGCCGAGAGGAAGGATTAAAAATCTGTTCATGGTTAACTTCATGTTCAAAACATCGTTAAAATGTTTAAATATATCATAAACCCTAAAAACCCATACATTCGCCTACAAAATAATCGTGTCAAACTTTCCAAATTCATTGTTAATTTGGATGCTGTCCAAATTAATCGTTATTTTGGATAGGTTTGAAAAATTAAAGAGTAATAATTACTCTAATTATTTTCTAACCTATACAAATTAACTATTAATTTGGACAGCATCCAAATTAACGATGCACTTGGAAAGTTCGGTGATGTAATTAATGAGTAATAAGAACTACAAGCTTCAACAATTTGGAAATAATTGGATTCGAAAAATCCATATGACTGGATTGGACGAGGCCATATGCTGTACCCAATTAGGTCATTTCCAGAATTTTTTCCTCCAATTATTTCTAATTTGGATAATATGTTGTTCAGTTAATAGGGGAAAAAATACTAAAACATCCTAATTTATTACACATTTAATTAAGGATGATATCTTGTGATAAAGCCACAAATAAAAACATTATCAGTGAAGTGATACAATATCCCTTGGTGGTAAACTGTAGACTGTTTTACTGTATCAAACCTAAATGTATAACAAATAAATTATTCATGTTAAGAGCCCGTTCAAATCTTTTATCTACTTATTTTCCATATCAAATTCCTTATTTATAGACTTGCTTGTTTACAATAGGATATTAGAACTTGTGGATAAAAACTATATCAAGCTCTTAACATGTTATAAACCCTATTTATAAAATATAACACACATGCTGATTGACTGGTTACCATGTGTATATCAGAGGACATAGAAAACCTTGTGCAAAATACTTTTAAAATATTTCATTAAAAAAAATTGTAGAAAAATAAAATGCACACAAATATCTCTGTACTGTGATATAAACACTTTGGGAGCTGTAGAACACTGAGAAATGAGAAATGCTATGCTTGCTTCTCTCATGCTCTACAGCTCCCAGCATGTTTATATCACTGTACAGAGATATTTGAATGCATTTTATATTTCTTACATTTTTTATTGGCCTATAGATCCCTTGCAGCACTTTGGAATGCAGCTCCATCTCGGTGACAAAACAATAGGTTCCAATTCTCAGAAGATTCGAATTCTTTTGTTTCGTCCCCCAGATTGAGCTGCTTTGACGTCACATGCAAGGTGTCTATCATAACTATTATTTACAATGCAAAAATAAAATAGTTATTCACCTTTATTTGCACCAGCTAGGCTCACCAACCTACAGGATAAATGTAGTTGTGGAAACCTAGTGGTTTGCCAAGCGAGATTCCGAATCGTGAGGGACACAAAAGGTCTGAGTGCTCCTGCCAGGGCCATACCTCATTCCATCCCAGAATCCCTATTGGCAAGCATTATTAGAACTGTACTGGTCTATTAAACTCCAGGTAACCCAAGGAAGCCATGAGGCTATAGCCCTGTTTACACTAGCGATTTTTGCTGGGATTTTTGCTGGGATTTTTTGTGATTTTGTCCATAATAAATAATGGTAAAGAATTTACTTGTAAAGTTTTTTTCAGGATACCAAGATTTTCCTAGACAAATGTCTCTTTTGAAGGATGAGACAAAATATTTCATATTTCTGAAAATTGCCACAAAAATCGCAGCAAAAATCGCCAGTGTAAACGGGGCTTATAAGAGGAAACTTCTCAATAACCAAAGATTACCTCTCCCTCCCCCTAAAACATGTGTTTGTTCATGTGTACATATTGCAGATGAACACTGCTTTATCATCACAGAGACCCCACCACCCCCTGGACATATCCATAGTGTGCTTCAAAGTTAGTCTTACAATAAATGAATGCCCTCAACTATATATTATATATTAGAAAGAAAAATTTTATAGAAGAGCTTTAGGAAATAGTTTAGATAAATGGAATATTCTTTATCTTTTATTCAATAATGTATTTATTATTCTTAAGCCTCAGTCTAGATATAAGGAAACTAGTGAATAAACCAAGTCAGTTTGGAGGCATGTTTTCCCTCCCTATCTTGGACCACATGCCATTCCCTTGAGTATTTTTTTTTATTTTAATTTTAAGAAAATTGGATGTTTTTCCAACACAGACCATTTCATTCCCTTTAGTGTTAWTCTTGTGTTTGCCAGGAACAAAATCTTAATGTTTTCTGATCTCAGACAATATCATTCCCTTGAGTATTATTTCATTCTTCTCATATCATCATTAAGATTTATTAATATGGAATGGAAATCAAAGCAAGAATTTTATCTCCAAGAGACTGCAAAAGGGAAAACATTACCCCCAAATTGACTCGTCCTATCATGGCATGATTACTAATGAATTGTCATTTTGACAGATGTCAGTAGACAGCTTAACAAACAGAAACGTAGACGTGCTGAAAAGCACGCCTTATAAAAACACCGAAAAGAAAAGTCATACGAGAAAAGATGATCCAAAACGGTCTCCAGGCATTCTTTAATGCTCCAATTATTACCGAATTAAGAAATTCTCGATGATCAATAAAACAGCCACGTTTAAAAATGTACACGTTTTGAATAAATTTTTATCAAACCCGGTTAAAAAAGTCTTGACAATTAAATATTTTTAGCGCGGCTTGTCAAAATTGCACCAAGAGCTATGGATCCTTAATTCAAAGAAGATCGGTCTTAAGAAAAGAGAACTAATTTATTTAGAAGTAAGAAAAAGAGAAAGAAGCTAGATCTGAACATGGTGTGACCTCTGCTTCGAGTCTGAACTGAAAAAGGCGGCCTCGAAAATCTGAAAGCACTTGCTTTATCAGGAAAATTTTGCTGAATGTAGCTARGAAATGAGTTTAAGGATGTATTTTACTCACCAGAGAGAGGAAAAAGCTTGAAGTTTCAGCAAAAATGCAAGCAAAAGTTKAGCACAAATGCACAGATCCCAGGAAAAGGATAAAGTGAAGTGTGGACCAAGTCACGACCCTGTTTCGATATAACGAATAATTTGATTGGWCAATACCAACCATCAGCTGGACGATCCAAATATGGCACCAATTCAGCCAATCACTACTTCGGTTAGAAAGACATTTATTACARCCATTTTTGATTTTCTAACATGAGTAAAGATTCAAAATGCTCAAGAACAGTAGATTTTTTGAGTCTCTTACTACAATATTGTCTTTTTCTTTTATTTTGAACTCCACATGCTGTGATAAAATTGAGAAATCATGGGATAAGCCACGCGTGTTGATTGGTCGTTGTATGGCTCACGGAATCTAGCCAATCAGAGTTCTCGTTGTATCTATTTCCCTTCAGTCTTTGCGTCTGGTTTATCTTGAAAGAAGRAACAACTCGATTTTTACTCGCGACCCTCTAGAATTTCTCTCATTTTCTTTATCGTAAAGCCATTAATGGGACTTAAAATTGCATAAAACGTAACTTTAGTATCTGATAGTGGAATCTGCAGGCCTATTTTGGCGAAAATGGTGAGAGAAACGCGTCATCTTTGGGTTGGAAATCTTCCTGAGAACATCCGAGAAGAGGACATTGTGAAACACTTTACCAGGTAGTCTCGTGTGATATACTGCAAAAAATATTTCATTTATGCTTTTATTCAGCCCCATAGAAAAGCCGAGGAAGAGAATATTTAATCCTCAATGTTCGTGCTTTTTCCTGGAAGTAATCGCATTCGCTTTGCTGACTTTGGGCTATTATTTTTAACATCGATTATCCAAAGATCTTCAATGTGCGCGTAATTTCATTTAGTTTACGATTTTTACGTACTATTATATTAGCGCTTTGAATGTGTGGTTTTTGGTTAATCTTTTTGTAAGATGTAACCGTCTTTTTAGTTCTTTAAATAGCTTTGCGGATTTCTTTTGTGCGGTTGTTTTGKCGCGCGATGTTCGTGTCTACAGTCTGAGTTTTCGTTTCCACATGGGTCAAAAATGATATCCGGATTTTTATCAAACTGGAATATCGCTTTAATAAGACCGGATTTTAGGGTTTTTCTATTCTTTCCATGACCAATAACTGCTCATTTGACCGAGGCAAAGTTCATTCTCCTCAGTTGTTTACATTAACTGCAATGCAGCTGCTCCTGCTACGAGTCAAAATTAATGTAATATTTAAGGTTGTGAATAAATTATTTCTGCTTTTGCAGATATGGACGAGTCGAAAGTGTTAAGATTCTTCCAAAGCGCAGCTCAGAAGGTGGAAGAGCCTCCTTTGTTGATTTCGTGGACATCCGTAGTGCGACCAAGGCCCACGAATCTGTCAATCGTATTGGGGACAGAGAAATGAGAACTGATTATAATGAGCCGTCGAGTAATCAAACAACTATATCATCACGGGTGCATGATCCTACAGCTCGTCCTGTTAGTGGACCCCCACCGTCACCCCCTAGGGGTAGGAGATACGAGAGAAGGGCAGAGGGGTAAGTTATTTGTGTAACATCAAGCAAAAATATGTATTGATAAATATAGTATTAGATTTATGGAACACAATGCTTTTTGGGAGCTACAGATTTCTTACATTTAAGGTTAAACTCAAACATGAGGATGACGTGTTGTATCAACTTAAAATATGGGAAAACAGGTCATCAAAACATCTTGGAATCAGTGTTGAACAACACTCTTCTGAAAGTTCCCAACACCACACAACAGAAATAATCTCTTTGGGAAAATTTTGATGTGGTTATTGCCTGCTTTGTTGCTACTATGGAAATTGTTGCACCAACTTATGTGGGGTCACAACTATCACCAGCAAGATGAATGGCTTTTTGAGTTGAGAGTCTCGTCATTCTAAATGAAGATTAGCAGCACTTGAAACCAAGGATGGATTGTTGAATTTGATGGTCTTGTCRTGTCAAGGGATCAAGAACACTTCACTGTATACATTGTGGAATTCCTACTTCCTTGACAGATGCAARATAGCTCTTATGCATCAAGTTTGATGTCATTATTACATCTGGATTTTTCTTCCATGGTTTGTTGAGTATTAAATCTGGGAATATTGCTACTATCGAAGCTTGGATTTCATCCATGTGCATCTCAGGTTATGGATAAAGAATCTGTCTTCTTGCGGAACAATTTTGGGTTCAGGATATCACGTCTCTGTGAAGTAGAATTTTAGCTTGGAAATTACTTGGTATCTGCCCTCAGTTTTTGACAGCAAAAAAAATGATTTTGGAATCTTAACTGCTCATGGATATTGACCATTAACTTCACCACCCGAKATTAAAACTGGAAAGAGAATGGCTGAGTGTGGATACAACATTTTTCACTTCAAGATGCTGCAAGATTAAAGTCTRAAATAAACAGGATCAAAGTCTTCTTAAACAAAAAAATGGATCTTTTTTTCATCTCAATTATCTATAGATGTGTGTGAAGTTAAATCAAGATTTTCAGAATGTTTAATAAGACTATTGATCTTTGACGACACTGGATTTCAAGGCTAATATGGATTAGATATTATGGCAGTTCTACTTAATCTGATTTGCTTTCCTACACCAGTCTTTTATCTTCAAGATTYGTACTCTTTTGGTTCGACATTGTGAATGTTGAAGAAAGTGTCAGGCGTGACTGTTGTATTGGACAACACTGAAGGAAACGACTGACAAGGAGATGACAGCTTGTGATTGTTATTTCAATTTAGGCGTAACTCAAGGGAAAATTGGATGAATAAAGAGCAAGTAATAAAACATGGATACCTCTTGGTTAGAAGCTATATCATGACATGTTAATAATGGAACAGTGTGGTTGGTTGGTTATTGCTCCCATTGGGAACTTAGTCTGGAGATTTCATGAAAGGCATTAAACACCATATTCACATCTGTCCTTGTACATCCTGTCTCAAGTGGATTTTTTTGTGGAATATTAAAGAAAAGCAATGTGAGTTTACTGCTCTTGACGACCGTGAGATTATTGAACTGGATTGTACAATGCATAGCCTAGATGACCAAATGTGACCTAATTAATGGATGATTAATGGATGGTGTGAACAAAGATCACAGAAAATTTTGGAGTTTCAATTGATTTGTTGATCTGGATAACCATAAATTGGAAATAAAGTATTGGAAGGGAAGCTCAGAATTAATATGGATTGAGGGATTAATTAGAAAATTGTGTCCACTCTTGTAGTTATTAATTTATCAAGGAAATCTGTCAAATTGGACAGTTGTGGTGTCTAAATCTTGTCTGTGATATTATATTGAGAAAAGTCAATGTTTGGGCCACTGAATTAAAAATGTAGCAAAAATCTGTCGTCAATGTGGATTGTGGCAGGGCTAGGAATATAACAAGGTTAGTAGTAGTGTTTCGTACTAGCATGAAATATAGACCGAATATAAGGTCTGCCGACATGCAAGCGCCAAGCATATACGTCCATTAAATAGGGAAGGGAAACAGGGTGCAGCAAGTCAGTCTGTCCGTATTAGAATTGTGGGAGGCATTGGGATTATTGTGAGTGTAACACTACCTCACCCCCTTAGATATGATGCTATCCCATATAGACTTTTAAACATGCCATGCTTAGAGCAACATAAATTTTGAGTGTAAATAGTGTTCATACTTTGGTGTTGAAATCATTCAGTTTCTATATATTAGGTTGGATTGCTTTAAKGCATATCTTGGCAGGTTTTGCATATCATAAGGCCGGTCTCTGCCTGTCACACCACAAATAGCATTCATTTATTTCCATTCCATTGCCTTTATTACTAGTTTTAACAGCTGCATTATGGCTGAAATTAATCAAAAATAATTCTTTCAATGGTTTGTTTCGTATATCAACCAACATGGTYGCCATACGCATCTTCTTCTTCGTTCTTTTCCACAGGATTCCAAACTTCCTATTAATGTATTATAAACCATTGATATTATATTCTTCTGTTTTTCAAAAATCTAATTATTATATTTTTCTGTCCTGTAGAATGCAAGAGGGACGATACCCCAGCCGTTCTGCCTATCCATATGAAGGATACAGTGATGAAGAAAATAATACGAGATCTGAGAGAACCAGATATCAGGGACATAAGGGGTATTCTAGGAGTAGTGACGTCAGCGCAGCACCTAAAAGATCTGGAAACAAACCTGGTAACTTGTCTGATGATTTTCTTTGCAAAGGAAAACTGTCCATAATGACATTCAAACCTTCAAATTTTATTAATAAAATCTAAAATAGARAAAAAAACTAAAACTCCATGGTGGACAAAAAGCCTTAATAAAGCTACTGATAGATCGATTAGGACTTAAAAGTAGATTTCTATCTAGGGAGGAAAAACCCATACCAAGAGAAAAAAACCTTGAAGCACACAGGCCAAACAAAAAGTGTGTTTCCTGTTGCATAAGAAAAATAATAATTGGGGTCGGTAGGTCTGATTTTTTTTACTGATACAACAGTGGAAATGAACTTACTGGGAACCCTCTGGTGCATTTGGGAATGAAAAAATATTAGAGTCGGCAAAAATCAGCAAGAAAATTAGAGTCGGTCACGCAACAGGAAACACACTTATTTTTTTGTTTAGCCTGAGCGACTCTACCCCAAGTTGCTACCCGTACTTSCCCATGATACCCTTACCTATTCTGTCCCACAATGCACTGCAATGCCAACTCAACCCAGTTTTTTCCTCAATGGCTAATACATACACTCATTATTTTCATTGCTTTTACTTGAATTTAGAATCCTTCCAAAGCCAAGGGCCCAGTCCAGACAATTCAAGTGACAGCGAGAGTGTCAGTAGCGACAGTCAAAGTGGAACCCAGTCAGGCAGCTCAAGCAGTGCCAGCAGTAGTGAAGATGAGAGTGAAGTTGAAAGTAGGAGTCCCTCTCCAGGCTCGGAGGCATCCAGGACCCATAGAGCTTCTTCTTCTCTGTGTGTTAAAAACCTTTCTACGAGATCAAGTGGTAAGTTGGCATACATGTTGGAACGTTAGCACTGCTGTCTGGAAATTCCAATCATCCTCCATGGGGTTAGGTATAGATGTTTTCTTGAGATACACAATATATCCAACTCAGACCCTCCCCAACCCTTGGAAATTCCGATCATCCACTATGTGGGAGATATGGATATTTTTTTGGAACCACACAATATACCATTTTCGAGTTCCAAATTACCACTGTGTTCCTCGATGACAGACTTATTTACTCAGAGTTAGCCTTGTATCAGTTTCAAAAATATTCACAAATATCCACAGTAAAGAAATGAATGCTCATTTTCAACAACACAAATATTTTACACAAATTCAAGACTAACCCTGAGGCTAACAGAACACATAACTGGAGCATGTATCCTCCTCAATCCCTGGTTGACGTATTATTTTAATCTCATAACAGATGGTAGCATAAGAGAAGGCCTGTATCATGAGTTTAAGAAGCATGGAGAAGTGACTCGTATATATGTACAAGGAACTGGTAGTAGTAGGTCAGCTGTTATTTTCTTCAGAAGGTAAGCTTTGATAAAATCGTATGAATTTTTTTAAATGTATTCTTCAATTAAATGTTACATCATTGCAGCCTCTCGGGGGAACATTGGTGCCATTAAACAAAAGATTTCTTTTAGCAGCCATTGTTAACAGCACCAATATGGCCACCTTGTATTTGTCTTGAATCTCTTGGGAATGCTTGCATCCCATCAATACTGGGAAGCTATAAAGCTATTGACCAGAGGACAACACCTTAGCAGAATCGACCACTAACCATGATGTTAATTTGATTAAAAACGGTATTCACTAATTATATGTTCATTGTTTTCTAGACCTGAAGAATCTGAACGTGCCATGGAAGCTTGTCAGGGAAAGATGTTCCTTGGAGCAGAGATGCAGATTCAGCCATGGAATGGCCCTCCAGAAAAGAGTGAGTACCTCTTAGGCACTCTCCTTTCATATGTTTCTGATATTTTCCTCTGGTTTTCCTTCTTCAAAAGCTAAAAGCAATAGCTGCACACATCAGAATAATCGACATATAACCAGTCAATGTGGCCAATCAAGTGAAAGAGTCTTAGAGGCAGTTGGCTGCACAAGTGCCATTTTGGCAGAGTGTTATCTTTTCGCCTGCCATTATTTTTATCCCGCCATTATTTTTATCCTTGGCTTATGCTCATATGCATTGTCCCTGTCATTATAAATATTATAGTAATGATTATTTTCATAATAGTTTGTTTTATCAACCATAAATTTAATAAATATGATCCGAGTTTTCGVCCTACTCGGCCATCCTCAGGGAAATGAAAAGCGTTACAATTGACAAAGAAAAATGCAATCAAACCATGGCATATGTGCGCACACATTAAATTAAACAAAATCATGCACGCTTAGGAAAAAATAAATAAAATAAATAAATAATATAAGGAACTCTTTGATTTAATGATTATTTTGTTTGCAGCTGGTGATCGTGGTGATTCCAGTGACTTTCCTCCTCGTTATCGCAGCAGTGGATCAACACAACAGTACCCAGATGATGACTTTGATCCAGGCTGTACCAGGACCCTGTTTGTCGGCAACATTGAGAAATCAACAACCTATGGTATCCTGAAAGAGGCTTTTGAACGATATGGAGAAGTTGTGGTAAGTGATGGTCAAACCTTGTGATACGATATTCAAGGTTCAATAATATATAATAGCAAACCAATCAACGTAGCAGCAACTTCTTCAGTGGAATTCAAATCTTWAAAAAAATAATAWAATAAAATAAATGGGATTTAACAGTGGCATTTCTACAGAGTAGCTATTCATCCACTGTAATTCCAATTGGAATTTAGGAGTTGATTTTTGCRGAGGGAGGAAAGTCGGAGAACCCGGAAAACCCTTGAAGCACAGAAGAGAACCAACAAACAACTCTACTCACTTACGACACAGGAGAGAACCAACAAACAACTCTACTCACATACGACACTGGAGAGAACCAACAAACAACTCTACTCACATACGACACAGGAGAGAACCAACAAACAACTCTACTCACATACGACACTGGAGAGAACCAACAAACAACTCTACTCACATACGACACCGAGCTCAGTGGGACCCCAACCCGGGTCGCATTGGTGAGAGGCGAGCGCTCTCACCGCTACACCACCCTTGCTTTCCATCTTCCCATCCAAATCTTGTCCCACAAACAGCTAAGAATTATGTTTTATATTATTGAAGGCTTAACTTTTAATATATATGTATTTCTTATTTTTAATCCTTTTAAAATATTATAACTTTTTCCTAATGATCCTCAATAAATCATCATCATTATTATTATTATTATTGTTATTATTGTTAGACTGTATTCAAGGATATTTTAAGGATATATTGTAATATTTAGAATATTTACCAAATTTTTTTATGATTCCTGGGCTGTAAGTGGTAGGGGTCCAAGGCACCCAGAAAGCCCCCCCCCCCAGATGGGCACCTGTTGTATGCTGTTAATGCAAGCCTTTCTCAGTCACAGATTTGATACTCAAATCATCCACATATGATTAGAGTTGCTTCCAAGTCCCTTGCATGTTTTAATGTTTTTCTGTCTTCCAGATTCTGATTGTTGTTTGTTTTACAGGATGTTGACATCAAGAAGCAGCCTGGCAACAACCCATATGCCTTTGTACAGTTTGCTGATCTTAGCAGTGCAATCCAAGCACGTCGTCGCATGGACAGAGAGTTCATTGGACGCAACAGAGTCAAGGTATTCTATTAAAGTCTTTCTAAATAACTAAATAATATCTTAAAATTGCTCAGCTTAGCTGGTAATCAAGGGTGGCGTACTCGCCTCTCACCTCTGGGATCTCAGGTTTGTTTCCTGAACCTGGCATCAAATGTGAGTAGAGTTTGTTAGGTCTCTCCCTTGATTCAAGGGGTTTTCTCAGGGCTCTCTTTATTTTATCCTTCTTCTTTCAACAAAATCCATCATGCTATTAATGCCATTTCTATCTGTAAGCTAACCGTGTCCTGACTTAGATCAGCCCAGAGGTTGTTTCAGGGTATCGATCAGTGAGTTAGCCATGCCCTGACTTAGATCAGCCCAGAGGTTGTTTCAGGGTTTCATCTATGAGTTAGCCATGCCCTGACTTAGATCAGCCCAGAGGTTGTTTCAGGGTATCGATCAATAAGTTAGCYGTGCCCTGACTGAGATCAGCCCAGAGGTTGTTTCAGGGTATYGATCAGTGAGTTARCCATGCCCTGACTGAGATCAGCCCAGAGGTTGTTTCAGGGTATCGATC